GGAGCCCGGGGTGCCGGGGGAGGGGGGCCCCGGCGCAGACGGAGGGTGGAGGGCCCCCCCGGCCCGCCTCCAGACTGACAGCGGCCGAGCCCGCCCTCCCGCGACGTTACTTCCGGGCGAGGCCCCGCCTCCCCGCCCTGGGTCTCCGGAGCCGCCCTGGCTCCGCCCCCTGGCGATTGGAACGCGGGTCACGTAGCAACGCGGGGGCGCCGAGGAGAGGGGCGTGGCCCGGGGGCCGCCGGGCGCTCGTCCAATCAGCGCGCGGGGGCCGCCGGCGGTCGCGGGGCTGTAGCAACGTCGTTAGCAACACGTGGGGCGGGAGGAAGCGGCGGGCGGGGGGAGGCGGCGCAGGAGCGCGGGCGGGGGGAGGAGAGCTGACGTCAGCGCGAGAGTATTATGGTCTGTCGTGCGCTGGCTGCTGCTTTTCTGCTCCTGGAAGCGGCCGAGGGGGGAAGCGGCGAGTCAACATGGAGCTCTCGGCGGTGGGGGAGCGGGTGTTCGCGGCCGAAGCCCTCCTGAAGCGGCGCATCCGGAAAGTAGGTGTCCGGGGCCTCGGGCCTGGCCGGCCGGGCCCTCGCCGCGCTGCAGCCAGCCTCCCTTCCCCCAGGTCCCAGCAGCGGCTGCGGCCGTGGCGGCGGCCCTGAGCCCCGGCGCTTCCCTTCGACTTGCAGCGATGCACAGATTGCACGGGTGGGGGGCGGGGTGGGGGGCGAGTTCCGGTGCAGGCACTTTGTGCACCGTGCCGTGCAGGGGTGGTGCGGCGGGCGCGTGCCTTTTGCGGGAGGATTTCGCGCATTCATCTGGTGCATGCATTTTCTGCATGGATTTCTTCTGGCCTCGCCAGGCATTCCTCCCCGTGCGCGTACACACACACACACACACACATACACATACACATACACACACATACACATACACGTCTTTCTCTTTGCATCCGCAGGGACGCATGGAATACCTCGTGAAATGGAAGGGCTGGTCGCAGAAGTAAGTAGGTTATGTGCAGCCTGTACCCTACACTGCCCCTTTCTTCCTTTCCTCCTGTGCATTAAGACACAATGCAATTCAGATGGAAAAGTTGGGCACCCTCGCCCTCCGGTTGCTCCTGGCACTGACCGCTCCTTCGTCCTCCTTCCTTGCAGGTACAGCACATGGGAGCCAGAAGAGAACATCCTGGACGCCCGCCTGCTCGCGGCCTTTGAGGAAAGGTACAGGCCTCTCTGCAGCCCGCTGCTCACTTGCAAGCTGGTGTCCTGGCCTCCAGCCAGCTGGGATTCCTGAAGCCCCAGTGGGGGCCTTTATTCACACACCCCTTCCCCCTTCTTTTCTTGGCAGGGAGCGAGAAATGGAGCTCTATGGCCCCAAAAAGCGAGGACCCAAGCCCAAGACCTTCCTCCTCAAGGTAGGAGAGCTGAGTCCAGTGGCCAGCAGCATGAGCCAGTGTCCTCCATGCAGAGGGGCCCAGAGGGCTGGGACCAGTGGGTGTTCTAATCCATTCTTTCAGTCTAGGATGAATCCTCTGTAAGATGCCACCAAGCCAGTGGTAGGACAGGAGGTGTCTTGGGGGCGGGGCTTAGCCACACTAGCATACATTATCCTTCTAGAGACCCCTTGGTATACCAGACCCTTGTAGTAGATACAGGGCTTGCTGCAGAGGGCTACCTTTGGGCAGGTGCCATCCCACTTCTCTGGACTGCCATCCCAAAGCAGCCTCCCGTCTTCACTTAGACAACCCCAGGTGTGGACTCAGACAGGGCAAGTCTGAGCCCCAGGTTGAGTTCCAGGGCAGGAACCTGATGCTCTCTTGACTTTGCCTTCCCTTCCACAGGCTCAAGCCAAGGCCAAAGCCAAGACTTATGAGTTCCGGAGTGACTCAGCCAGGGGCATCCGGATTCCCTACCCTGGCCGTTCACCCCAGGACCTGGCATCCACCTCCCGAGCCCGAGAGGGCCTCCGGAACATGGGCACCAGCAGCACCAGCAGCACCTGCCGAGCCGAGCCTCCTCCTCGGGACAGGGACAGGGACAGGGACCGGGACCGTGAGCGCGAGAGGGAGCGGGAACGAGAACGGGAGAGGGCTGCCAGTCGGGCGGACGACAAGCCCAGCTCGCCAGGCGACAGCTCCAAGAAGCGAGGCCCCAAGCCCCGGAAGGAGCTGCTGGACCCCTCACAGAGGCCACTGGGAGAGCCCAGTGACAGCCTGGGAGAATACCTCAAAGGCAGGAAGCTGGACGACACCCCTTCCGGGGCAGGAAAGTTCCCGGCAGGCCACAGTGTGATCCAGCTGGCCCGGAGGCAGGACTCAGACATGGCGCAGTGTGGCATGGCCAGCCCCAGCGCCTCAGAGGCCACAGGCAAGCTGGCCATGGACACCTTCCCCGCCAGGGTGATAAAGCACCGGCCTGCCTTCCTGGAGGCCAAAGGCCAGGGCACCCTGGACTCTGGTGGCCCCCGGGTCCGACATGGTTCCGGCACCCCTGCCTCCATGGGCAGTCTTTACCGGGACATGGGAGCCCAGGGAGGAAGACCATCTCTCATCGCCAGGATCCCAGTGTCCAGAATCCTGGGGGACCCGGAAGAAGAGTCCTGGAGCCCCTCTCTGACAAACCTGGAAAAGGTGGTGGTCACTGATGTGACCTCAAACTTTTTGACCGTTACCATTAAGGAAAGTAACACGGACCAAGGCTTTTTTAAAGAGAAGAGATGAAATTGTGGGCAGTTGCCCTCAGAAACTGCCAGCAGGCAGGCAGAGTGCTTTTTCTTTCTGGGCGCTATGTGGCCTTCTGGCCGCGCCTGTCACACATCCTGCCCCTCCCAGCCCTCTCCCCCACCTCCATTTGGTTGGAAAGATTATTTCTAGAGTTCTATTTTCTATTAGATGTAAATATGTTATTTAAGAAAAAAAATATCTAAATATATATATTTCAACTCTTGAAGTTGTTTTATTTAAACCAGGAGAGAGAGAGGGACTCTGGGTGGTTTAACAGGGGACAGACAGGCTGAGCCCAGACAGCAGGGACCCTCCGTAGCCAGGGTACCATCAAGGTTGAGGACCTGGGCCTACTAGCCCTGGGCACAGGGCCTCTGAGGTGCCTCGGGGACTCAGCCTGCCTACCCGCCCCTCCTCCCTCTCCCATGCCAGCCCCCCTGAACTGAAGCCCTTCTCTCCTCCCCATTGGTCAGGCAGGCCAACAAAGGGTTGGAGCCAGTGTCAGAAAAAGGGCATGGAGTGACTTGTTTTTCTGTTCCTTTTTTGAGGCTAAGAATTGCGTTAGAGGGGAGAGTTTGAGCTTGAAGAACCTTTTTGTGTGTGATGTTGAAGGTTGAAAATCGCAGGTGGGTGGGGGCAGGTGGCTTTTCTCCAGGACCGCCCGCCAAGAAGCACTTTACTGGATGGAGCGGTGCGTGTGCGCGGCCGGTGCGTGTGCGCGGCCTCAGTTCCTTTTCCTTACGCCACAGAAAGAAGAAAGCCAGCAAATCTGTTTACATTCCCGAAATGCCAGGATAAGTTAGGATTGCTTGGCGGGGCCAAGCTCCAGCAGCCCTCTGCTGAGGAGGAAAGCTTCGGTGGACCTCTGCTCCTCATGTCTCCTGGTTTCCCCGGAGGCTTCGGACAGGGCGCGCGCTCTCGCCCTCGGGAAAGGCGACGCACCAACTCTCCCATGGACTGACTCTCGGCCAGACGGGCCCACCCGGCGGGACCCGTGCGGGCGGGGGTCTGGGCCAGCCGCCCGGGAGGATGGGGCTGGGGATCCGCCGAGACGCAGGGGCTGGAGGCTTGAACCTCCAAGAATGCGCGTCTAAACTTTTGCGTTTTCTCCCCCCTTCTTAAGAGAAAAAGCTATAATTTATAGGCCTTTTCGGTTGGCGAAGTGTTCTCTACTTGAACTTTCAGACTCGCCAAGGGGAGGGAGCGGAGGGAGCCTCTGGAGCAGAGAGGGAGGGGGGCTGGGTGTGGCCTGAGCCCCGGCCCCTCTGATAACTCAGAAGCACAAATGGGCCTCCTTGTCCCCAGGAGGGCTGATCCCAGGCCTCCCCACCCTTAAAGGGGCAGCGGGAAGCTCCCCTCCCCGGCTCGAGGCCGGGCTGGGCCTCAGCGCAGACAAGCACAGACTGGGCCGGCGGGGTGGGGCCCCCAAGCCCCATCTCCCTGTTGCCCATCTCGCGCCTCCTTGCCTCTCATTCCTCCAGACTTTGCTGCCTCTAAAGAGGAGGGGAGGAGAGGAACCGGAGTAATAAGTGATTTTGTTTGGATTTGAATATCAAATTGCGCCTTTAAGGAAAAGCCTTGAGAGTGGGGATTTTGACCTGGTCACATTTGTAAACCTGCTATTTTAGGCTTTGTAGAAAGCAGCGCCCGTTGTTGATCGACTGTATCTGCTTACCTGCCGATGCTATTCTCAGATGAAACTGAAGGGACAGGTCCGTGGAAGGTGATGGGGTACATGTGCCCACCTGGCTGTCACCTTCTCCCTCCTCCCTCCCTCGCTCTCACGATCCCACCTGTCACCTTCTCCCTTCTCCCTCCCTCGCTCCCACCTCCTCCTGTTCCCCAATCTCCTTTTATGTCTTGTCCCTCCAACCCTGGTTTGGCTTTGGCTAGCCGGGATCTGCCTCACCCTCCTGTTGGGCCTGTGTCTCCCTTGTTCACTCTTGTAACACGGACCTGGGGTGTGTGTGGGGCGTAGCCAGGGCCAGGAGTGGGCAGGCGCACAGGATGTGGGGTGTCAGGCTGATGGAATTCTGAACTTTGTACAAATCTGGGCTGGGTTGTTGCCTGGGCTCCAGGAAGCAGCTTAGGTACTTGTCTTCTGCCATTGTGAATGTCTGTATCCAATACTTGCTTTTTATGTGTTTAAATATATACTTTGTAAATAGACACGGATCTGCCTTGCCTTCTTTTTCCCTTTCTCAATCAACAGGGAAGAGATGCCTGGACAGAAGAGGCCCCTTCTCTCCTCTCTGATTACTTTCTCCCCTTACTCCCACCCACGTGGTCTTGGGGGATTCCCTGCAAATCTTACCCAGAGGTGGGCTTGGGAGGGAATGGGATCTGCCCTGCTTAGCCCTCCCCCCAGCAGTAGGCAGGGCTTTCCCCACCTGTCCCCTGGGCTCTTCTTAGATCTGGGTTGAATTGGCAACCACAGGCTTTCTTTCTCCTCAGCGGATGCCAGTCTCAGGCTGCCTCAGATACTCAACCTCCAGGCCCATGTCACTGGTCCCCAGGACTGAGCCTCACTGTCCCATGTCTAACCTGCACCCCAGTGCGGTCGCCCCCTGATCCTCCCCGCCTCACTGGCGCCCCCCGAAATGCAGCGCCTCACTCCTATTGATTGAGGAATTGAATTCGTGGGCATTGCTAGGCAACTGTGCTTGGAGCCGGTGCAGAGCTCGCTGATGTGATTAGTGAAGCTGCGGCCGCTGCGCGCAGCCCACGACCCCCACTGGCCAGCCCTCACCGCCTCCGGTGCCCCCTCTTCTTGGGGCGCAGAAACCGCAGCGCTGGCGAGGGGGGGACAGTTCGCAGGAGTGAGGAATGCAGCCTACGGATGGGGCTTCTAGGACCCTCTTGGGCGCAGACTGCAGCTAGGAGAGACCTCAGATCCCCACGTAAATTATTAGACTAAAGGCAACCCCACAGTCTTCCTCGCTGGCTGGCAGGGTGGTGACGCCCGACGGGGCGCAGGCGAATGGCGTGGGCGCCCTCATCCGGCGTCTTGTGCCCATGGTGTGGAGTCTCGGGGACTAACTCTAGCCATGCCCCGCGCCCCGCCCCCAGTGGGAGACGCCAGGAGGAGGGGGAGAGGTTTCCAGGCAGCCAGTCACCAGCAGTCAATGCCCTTCAGACGTGAGGAGCTTTCTCGCGGGCTGGGCGAGTCCCTAAGGTCGCAGGCCATCAGGGGTCCAAGGTCCCTTCCCCAACCGCCCTTCGGCCCCAATCTATGCTCTGCGGGGAGGCGGCTGGTGGACTTGGAAAGCCTGGGGCGGGGCGGGGTGCCTGGAAGCCCGCTGCCCCCTCCATGTCCGGCCCTGTGTGCTAGACAGGGACGAGCTGGTCACTAGGGAGGTGGGAGAGGGCCTAGTCTAGTCGCTAGGGCTCACGGACCCCTTTCCCAGGTAGTCTCCTCTCCGAGGGCTTAGCAAAAGGAGAGGAGTGCGGAGTTGGTGGCCCGCGGCGCCACCCCTTCAGCGTGGTGCCCAATGTCCAGCCAGCCTCGATGGCAGAGCTCAGGGCTGACCCTGGCCGCGCACAAACACCTGCCCATCGGAATCTCTTTGCAGGGGTCGAACCGCTTCACTTTTCCCCACTGCGCACCGACGGGCCCTCCCTCCAAGTGTCTGCAGCTCACACTCCATTTATTCTTCCAAAGAATGAGTCCCCAGACTCCAAGGGGCTCAGACAAACCGAGTCCGACGTGGGGCGACTCAGGGACATCGCGTCTCCTGCGGCCTCGGGCCTCGACACCAGACTCAGGGGTGCGGGCGGGCGCAGCTCTCTTCCTGACACTTCCGACGACTGGGGCGCTGGAAGAGGCCGCGCTGCACTGCGTCCCGGGTGGGGATCCTGCTGCGCGGCCGAGGCCCCAGCTCCGCGGGACGCGCGCGCCCTCTGGAGGCAGCGGCCTCAGCCCCTCGGCCCTGCGCCCTGCCTGTCCCGGGTCTGGCGGGTGAGATGCGGGGCTTCAGACAAGCCAGACGCCTCGGCGCCCGCGCTCCAAGGCATTGCTGGGGTGCATTGCCGTGCGCGCCCCCTCTGCGGTCGGGTCCTCGAGTCGCCAAAGTCCAGGACGAGGACGGGGTGCCCACCGGCCTGTGCTGGCGCTCGGAGCCGCCTGCGTAGCCTGCTCCAGGCGCCCTCGGGCTGGAGGGACCGTCGGGGGCCGAGAGGTCCCCTGGCAGCCCAGTCCGGTTTTCTGTGAACCAAGCGGCCCACTGGCGGCGCAGAAACGAACAAACGCCCGAGAGGTTGAGCCGAGTGGAAGGGGCGCAGGAAGGCCTGGCGCCCGCGCGAAGAAGGTGGTCGCCGCCGCCTGCTCCTGGCCACCCAGCCCCGTCCTGCCGCTCTCCAAAGTCGGGCGCACAGCAGCAGAGTGCCCTGCACCCAAGGACAGCCCCCGAAGGCTGGCAACACACGAAGAACCTAGGAGAACTTGGTCGAGCAGGGCTCTGATCGCACACCTGCCGGCCCTTTCTCCAAGAGGAAGACATTCCGCCTTCCTCCAAGCAGCCCTTCAGCCAGTGGCCACGGCCAGCCAGGCCCAGCTTCCCTCTTCACTTCCAAGGACGCTGGGTTCTCCCTGGAGGCGGCCCTTCAGGAATAAATCCATGTTACTGCTGCTCGCAAACCCGGAGTCCGGAAGGTTGGCCAACAAGCCGGCCAGCGCCAGCCGTCGCTTGACCAGGAGCTGAGCACAGACGCAAACCTGCTGTCGGCAGCCCCTCCTGGAAGGACGGCTTGGTGCTTTCAAAGTGTTACCACATGTGCCGGATTCCAGGGGCTGGGTAGTCTTCTTGGGATGGGCGTGAGGGGAGAATTTTGTTTTGCTTTAAAGCAAACATCATCTTTTAGGGGAGTCTATCAGTGTGGTGGGTGGTGGCCAGCAGCCCCCTTTCTCCCCTTCATTGGTTGATTTGTTCTCTTCACCTTTCTGATGAAAACAGGACTTGCTCAATTCTGCATCTCTGACATCCCAGCAGGGGCAGGGTGGAAGCCTTTGGGCAGGGCCTGGGCTGAGCATTGTGGAATCTTTTATGACCTTCCTGGTCTCCACACACTACCATCCTGGAGATTGTGCCCCACAGTGGCCGTCCATGGGGGTGATCCACTGGGGTCATCGACTGGGGGCAGCCTCCCTTCTCCTGACAAGGCTCTGCCAGTGGGGCTCCTTTCAGATGCTGAGAAGCAACCCCCACCTATGCCAATAAAATCCCCCCAAATTGTCAAATCTCTCTCTGAGGTCTCTATCACTGCTGAGCGGAAGAGGGAACTCATTCTCTTCAATCCACTCCTTTGCTTAGAAACCTCTGCCAACCCCTCAGGGGAGGGCAGGGACCAGCAGAGCCTTTGAGCCCCTCCCCCACCCAGGCATCTTATCCAGGTGTGTGCTTTGCCTCAGAAGGGGAGTGTTCCCCACACTGAGGCCCTCAGTCAACTTCAAACCTGGAACAAAATTCAGCCCTGGGCTCACCTCTGTCAAGCTGGTCTACAAGGTGGCCAGTAACCAGGGAGGCCCCCTCTCCATAACCCACCATGTAAGGGGCAAAAGGGCACCCCTTGCTCAAGGACCAGGCTCTGAAGAATTTAGAAGGGTGAGGGGAATAAGAATTAGAGGAAGTGAGAAGAGTGTTACACCGTGGGCGTCACCTCATTATAAAGAAAAACGTGTAGATGGAAATCCAGTTCCCTGAGTAAACTTAGATTCAAGCCACAATTTTTTAAAGTGTCATTTTTTAATTTCATAATACACACAAGCAAAAAAACTTAAAAATATATTTATTGATAGACTAAGAGTTAACAAATTTTGGAGTTTGCTAATTAATGTCTTTTCCTCAAAAAAATAAATTAACCTTGGTCTAATGACGTCTGCAACCTATGCTAGTTATTAGCTTTACAAAGATACTCGACAGCCCACAGAACAAGAGATGAACAGGAGGGAACCAGGCACTACTGCTCTCTCCAATCCTGGTGGGCTTCTTGGGGGAAACACTTCCTTTGCTGAGTCAGTTCTGATTGAACCTTTGGGTTGGGCTGCTGTCCCATCCCAGCAAAGATCTTCAGTTTTCCCAGGGCACTAACTCATCCACTTTTGTCTTTTTTCTTAAAGCAAACACACAGCCATCGTTTACAGCAATTAGAACTGGCATACATGAATAGCTTGGCAATTTCTTTTTCTCTTAATTAAAATCCACAAATCAAGCCAGTGATTGGCACTGGCCCAAAGCTCTGGCCCCTGCCCCCTTCGAAGCCCTCCCCTAATGTAAACGCCCAGCCCCAGTGTTCTCCAGTCAGGTCAGAAGTGGAGTGCCACCCAAGACAAGAACACTCTTTTTGGTACAAAACTTTCTATAAACATTTGTGAGACCTCAAAGGCAGAGCACAGTTGTGTGTCTTCCCGCCCAGCAGCAGACTCAAACACCCTTCAACATGCAAGCTGGGAGAGAAGTGAACTACAAATTCTAAGACGGACACACTGCCGTGGCTGGCTAGTCGCACTTGCACCCACACAATTAGCAGCAAACAAAAACATCAAATGTACTACTTTGATTTATTGGTAAACATAAGACGACCAGCTCTGAGCACCTGGTCCAGCTGGTGGGCAGAGGCTTGCATGCCCATGCACACACCCCTTTTCACTGCTGGCATCTACGCCCCAGGAAGGACACATAGGCAGCAAGGCAAAGCGGCTGAGGGGTAGGCGGAGCTGCAGATTCAAACTTTGGGATTGAAGGAGCTGATAGGCAGAAAGGCACCAGTTGGGGGTCTGGAGCTTGGCACCCCAACACCTAGGGGCAGACACCCCATGGCCAACCCAAGGACTTTGGGAAGAGCTAACCTTGGCCTGGCATGTCTCCTCCTTTCAGAGGGGGCAGCCCAGAAGAACCCCTTTAGTCCCACAGAGTGGGGGTGGCTCTGCCTGGGGAAGGTGGGTGCTCCGACTGCAGCCTCACTGGAGACCCACCCTCCCCAGGTTATGCACGGAGGGGGACATCTTTCTTCCTCATGGGGCGAGCCTCTAGGGCAAGAGGCTGCATCTGAGCAGTCCCCCTGTCCCCCAACTCCCAGTGGCAGAATGCAGGCTGCCCCAAAGGCACACTGTGGAAATCAACTTGGCTACATAAAGGCCATTTCCTTTTTGGTTACAATGAAGCACTGGGGAGCAAAGCTGCAAGTTCAGGATAGTTTAGGGGTGCACTGCTGTCAGCCTGCCTCCCACTTAGGGTTTCTCTGGGGTAAAAGAGCCCCATACCAGCTGCATATTTAATTATAAACTAAGAAGAGACAAGACAGCTCCTGGTTCTTTTTGGCATCACAAGACTCACTGACCCAAAGTCTTGTCAGAGCCAGTTCAACACCCCACCCTGGTAAGGACACACAGGGAGCTGCCTAGTTTACCCAGGTCTTCCTCCAAGAGGAAATCTGGTATGGGGGGGGGGAAGCTATCCTACTCAGCCTGGGCCACACAGACTTGTCTTGCTCCCCAAATGTGGGGTAGATTGTCAGGGGAGGCAGTGACCACATGCAGCCCATTGATGCAGGCTGTGGTCCTGGGTGAGCTCGGTGCTCAGGCCAGTGGGGACCCACCGAAGGGCCTGCAGGCAAAGCCATGGAGGTTCGCAGGAGACCCTCACAGGATGCATCCCCTCCTCACAAACACAGGATCCAGGCTGAGACCACACCACGCTCCATGTGCAAGGCCAGCCCTGTCCAAGCAGCTGGAACACATCACCAATTGGATGGATGGACAGGGCCAGGAGGAGGGCTCCTGAGTGGACGTGAGCTTGGGACGGGTTCCATCCCCTCCTCAAAGCTGGACTGGGGAACTAGCGTTGGAGAAGCCCGTTCTTGACAGAAACAGTCCCCAGATGGTCAAGTGCTCAGCTCTCACCTGAAAAGGCTGCTGGTTCAGGACCCCAGGGGCCTCAGCAGAGAGGCCTGCAATCCACTTCACAAAGTCTAACCTCGCCCTCCCAGAACGGTCTATTCTGAACCAGTACACGAGGCTGTCATGGGCAGAACAAACTCCTATGCAGTGAGCCAGGGCTGGACCGAGCCCAAACTCTCATTAGCGGTTTCCCGTTACCCCCTGGACAAAGCCACCTGTCATTTTAAGGCTACAGTCCTCAGCTGTCATGGCAGGAGACATGGACATCAAACTTCCCACCTCACCCTTCAGGACTCAGGCATCATTTTGAGGGAGAAGCTCCAGCACCTTCCATGCTCCACCAGCTGCCCCCTCTTTGCCAGAATGGACCTAGCAAGCCAGCGTACTCCTAATGGACGCTGGCCCTTCAAAAAACTGCCCCCTCATAGTTGGGCAGGAACAGCCAAGCTAGGCTCAAAGTCCCTTCCCCTAAAAGTTCACTGCAGCTTTGCAGGGGGACAGGAGTAGTTCAAACACTAAAACGCTGGAGGAGCTTAAGAGCCTCCCCCCCGAGGGTGGTCAGCTTGAGCCGCAGGGCACCCACATTTCCTGAGGCAAAAGGGGGGGTCAAGCAGAGGCCCAGCGAGGTAGGAACATGAATGAGAATCCTGGCCCAGTGGGAAAGAAGGGACTGTCCCCGAACGGTCACAGCTCAGGGAAGGGACTGGGGTGCCTGAGAAGCCCGTTTCAAGCTTAAATGAGGGTGGGGCTCCTCAGCCCAGCCTCCTGAAGTCCACGGCGGGCAGGTAGGGGCTGCTGGAGGGGCATTAGTAAGGCCTCAGGTTGAAGAAGCCGACGCTGGTGGGCGATTCTTTCACCGTAACAGTGATGAGGTTGGCAGTGACGTCGGTGACAAAGACGTGCTCAATGAGGCTCCGGGGCGGCTTCCAGTCCTGGCTTGTCTGTACGGAGACAGACAGGTTCTGCCCGGTGCCTGGAAGCGGAGTCGAGTCTGGGTCTGAGTCAGAACTGCTGTTCTCTTCACCTGTGCTCATCTCAGACAGCACGGGGGCCTTGCGGGTGTCACCCGAGGCTGAGCGGCCCTCCTGCCCACCAGGGACCCCGCTGACCTTGCCACAGTCTCGCTTGCCTGAGGGGGTGGGTTGGGCTGCCCGAGACGCCAGCTTGTCACTTTTGCTGGGCTCGGCGGGTGCACTGGACCCACTGCCCGTGGTGGGGCCGACACCAGAGCCCTTCCCCAAGGCCGGGTGGGTGGCAGGGATGCTCTTGGTGGCCGTGGTGTGCCGTGCCAGCATGCCAACCCCCGAGGTGCCATTCTTGACACTCTGAAGGTCCAAGACCTGCAAGCTCATCTCCTGGCTGGGGGTTGGTTGGGCACCCAGGCAGCCCACAGGGCCCTTGCCGCCCCCCTGGACATGGGGGGCAACCCCTGAACTTGCTCCTTTCTGCTCGGTTGGCCCGCTGCCCTGGGCCTTTAGAGTCTTGCTTCCTGGGGAGCTGACCCCCAGTTCCCCTTTTGGTGTCCTCACCTTTAGGTCAAGCCCAAGGCTGCACTTGCTGGCCGTCTGGGTTTTGAAGGCCAATCGGCCGGCGGCCTCGGCCTGGCTCTGTGTCATACGGCTCATGTAGTGCACGATGGAACTCTGCCAGCTGATGCCCCCGCGGCTGGGGCTGCCCGCCACGCCCTTCATCAGACTGGCCAGGCTCTCTGTCGTGGCTGCACTGCTGGGCCCCCCACAGGCCTCCTTGGTGTGGGCCTTCAGGGCTGCCAGGCCAGCGACCGGGGCACTAAGTGGAGCAGGCAACTTGCTGGTGGGCACACCCAGGTCCTTGCGGGCAGTTTTCAGCACCTTGGCCAGGCTCACAGGCCGCCGGGCTGCCTTTTGCTCCGGGGGCAGCGGCTTGCGGCCGCGCTTCTTGCGTATAGGGTCTTTCAGCTCGGGTTTGGCCACCAAAATCTGGGCCTTCTTCTGGGGCACAGGATGGGTCTCGCGGCCCCGGGGGCTCCTCTTGGCATCAAGGTCACTGTCGTCCTCTTCATCAGAGGAAGTTGAGGAAGACGTGGAGGAAGAAGAGCTGCTGGACTTGGACTTGGAAGGAGCGTCAGGTTCCTGGAAGATAAGGGGGGTCAGGTCACACCTCTCCAGCCAGGGACCCCAGGCCTGGGGTGCACTGGCCAGCATAGGCAGGCAATCCCTCCAGACAGGAGCTACAGAGCCCTCCAAGGAGACTGCAAGGATCCTTGAGTCTCAGGATAGGGCAGGTGACAGGCAGGCAAGGCTCCGTCCTGAGCTGGAAGCCTCGTTGATGCTGGGTGGCCAGGATTCCGCTTCCTGCAACCCTGTGACCAACAGGGTCTGGACTTCCCTTGGTTGTAAATGTGGCAGGGGGAACTGTGGGTGGGTTTGATCTTATGGTTGGCAGCTGAGTGTTTTTACCTGCTGTGCCCTATACAAAGCCCCGCCCCAAACCCAACCCACAGCCACTGAGTGGGTGTCCGGGCTGTAAATCCTCTGGGAGGAGAGTGTACACCTTACCCGTTACAGCAACTGACCTCTGACCCTCCCTCTAACTGAGCCATCAAAGGCCTGAGGTCTCAGAGTCCCTGGCACCGAGAGGGGAGGCTTCCAACAAGACCCCAAGGGAGGAACTGGATGGCAGGAACCCCACAGTAAGTTTGCCGGAGACGGGAGGAGGGCAGGGGACTCTGTGGAGGACCCAGGGAAAAGCACCATGTCTCCCTCGGGCCCTCGCTTCCAAGACCAGAAAGAAAAGGAGAAACAACAGTCATGCCAAAGCTGCCATCCGCTGCAGGAGCTGTGCCCATTGGGTGCCCAAACACAGAAACACAAGGCAATCAAGAAGTTCGTAATTAGAAGTATAGTAGAAGCAGCTGCCGCCAGGGACATTTCCGGAGCAAGCATCTCGGACGCACGCACGCTTCCCAAGCTCCTGGTGAAATGCACTGTCTGTGAGCTGTGTCATTCACAGTACAGGGGTGAGGAACCGCTCGCCCAGACTCAGACCTGGGGGTGCTGCCCCATGACCAAAGCCCGTGGAAGGACTTGATTCTTTAGAAGCTGAAAAAAAGAGTCCTCTGAAAAGGAAACGTTAATTATACTTATAAAAACCCGACAGGGTAGTGTGGCTGTGCGAGGTGCCCACGAGTGGGCACTGACCGGGCAGGAAGGAGTCTGATGGTACAGCTCAGCTGCAACCAGCCAGGGCAGGGAGGGACACCACCAGCCTGGCTTGACCAGCTGCCTGGAGAGTGTCCCGAGCTCAACAAGCCTACGGGCACCTGTGCACACACGCTGAGTGGCCTTCCCTGCTGTCCCCAGTCACTGGAGGCAGGAGGTCTGCAACGGACAGCACGCTGCGCTCACGTACCAACACCTAAATGGACACCCGAAAGTGCCAGGAACTGCAAACTCAACAGGAAACTGCTCTCCCGTGGGCGTGGTCACTGGAGGCCAGGGCTGGCAGCTCACGGGTGCCCCTGCTGGCAGAGGCTTTGAGATGCTGCAGGGCGCTCTCCCCACTGGGGGGGGCGGGGAGGAGGAGCCCTCAAACCAAACCCTTGCTGGAAGGTCAGGGCGGGCAGCCACTCACCTTGAGCTTGGAGCGCCGGCTGCAGGACACCACGGTGTGCTTCCTGGGCCTGCCCCGTGGCCGCTTGCCTCTCTTCCGGCTCTGCACCTCCTTCTCCTGCTCCCTGAAGACACACACTGGTCAGCACTGGAGTCCTCTGGCTGCCACATGGGGGCACCCGAGGCTCTGACACTGTGGTCAGCAGGCTGCATGGTCAGCTCCACGGAGTGTCCACTGTGGTGCCCAGTCATCACCTCATTAAAGACACTCCTCAAGCCCCTACTCTGCACTGCTGGCCAACGGCCCCTCCGTAGCCTCTCTCCCAGACTCCCATTTGATATCTCATGAAGAGAAACCTGCTTAGAGCTGAGCCCCCAGCAGGCGTTCAGAGGCCGTAAACCACGTCAGGACACTGCCTGTATTTTCTGCGGAGCACAGAGTGCTGAGCGGGCATCTGGGTCTGCCGCACAACGTCCTACTGCTTAGGTATGCTGCAATGCTCCCTCGCGGCAAGTCAAAGAAATGGGGGCCAGGTTGCGAAATTAAGTGTTCCTACCTGCCCAAAAAGTAAAACTCAAGTAAGCTGGGGATTCTGACTCCTACTGAGCCTGCAGGGTGAGGAGAAAGCCCCCACGAGATCTCCAAGGCTGTAAATCTTTATGAGAGCAGTCTGGGGAGATAGACGACCAGCGACCTCTCGTCCTCTGTCCTTCAATCTGCTGAAAGGCACTGCAATGCCTCAGGACACAAGGCTCCTGGTTCTCTGTTTTTAAAAAGTATGTCTCCATTTCTACATCTACTCTTCTTTTCATCCAAGCGGCAGCTGGCGGGTTTGAAGAGCTGACCTTTCCGTTAGCAAGCAGTGGGCACATTCTCAAACCTCAACTCTGCTCTGGGCAGAATGCACAGTTCAAAGGTCCAGGCTCTGAGCTCGCACTGTCAGCAGTGAGGGGCCTGCTCCCCCTTCCTGTGCTCTCTCCCAGGGAAGGGGCTCTATCTGGAGTAGTGGCCCCCTAATTAACATGGCAAACAGCACCTTGCAAGGAGGATCCAATTAGTGCACCCTGTGGGAACAGGCTGCTAAGAAACCTTGTTCCTGCTCATGACCTCTGACAGCTGGAGCCTCACGGGTTTCTCCATTAACACAGGGGACCCGGCCTGTGTGTGTTTCGTGGGCCCTGGACCTGCCAATTACATTTTCTCATCAAAGCCCAAACACCTAACTGCAAGCTCCTTGTGCCCACCTTTTGGGGTGAGGGTTAGACAACTATTCTCTGCACTGTGGACTGACATCACCTTCAAAGCCTCCCCCTGACCCACCCTAAGCCACACCCAGGCCTGTCACCTCTTCCCTGTGTCAGAGTGCTTTGCTAAAACCCAACCAATCAGGAGACTGTTTGAAAGAGGATGGGGTAGGCTCTGAGGGCACACAGCCTTCTCTCCCACCCCTCTGGCTAGACCTGTAGAGAACACTAAGACTAAGACTGTCAAGTTAAGCATATAATTAACAAAACCAAACTAGTTGTCTGGCACTGCTCCTTAGGGTTTTGGGGAAGTTCACCAAGCCTCTCTTCAAAGCACTCTGGGCAGATCTGAACTGTCAACCTTCCAGTTTGTAGCTGAGGGCTTGGCTGATCCCATCACCCAGAGACTCCTAAATAAGCATTCTCACTCAGCAGAAGCACCAAGACCCAATCCTAACTGTCAGGGTCCCTCGAATATCCTGACACTGTGAGAAAAATGGTGGTGGTGGTGCCGTAGTCAGAGTTCCACCCTAACAGCGTATCCTCCACCGAGTGGGCTTCTGTGCAGCTAATTTATCAACAAGCAGAAATGAGGAGACGTAACTACCCTCAGCCTAGGGTCTATCTCACCAGGAGGGGGGTCTGTTGGTTGATGTAACACCCCTCAATGTCTATACAATATCTCAAGTCATCACCTCTCTCTTACGCCAAGCTTTCTACCTAAAAATAGAAAAAGCATCTAGAATTACACCGATTTGGCCCCTGGGAACAGCAAGAGGGCCCCATGGTGCTTGTTTGACACTGTTCTGCCCGGATAATAACATGTGTTCTTCCAGCTCCCCACCCCCACCTGCTCCTGGAGCCAGCTGGGAAGGAGCCAGGTCTGGAATGGAGGTCAAACTGGCCATGACGGGTTTTCTAAATTTTTTTTTATAAAAAAAGACCATGGTCCACAGACAGGACTTCTAGACAGTCACTTCTGTAAGCTGGGCTCCCAAAGAGACTAAGAATGAATGGTTGAAACCTCAAGGCGTCCTGACCAATAGGTGGGCAGTGAGGGCTGATCAGGACTTTAGTCACTCAGCCTCTACAAGTAGCCATAGAGATGGCACCAAGCCCTTTGCCCCTTCAGTCCCCACCCCATCCCTGGCCCTGCATGCGCAGCGGACTCCCTCACTTCTTCTGGAAGACCAGGAGCAGCCCTTTGCCCTCCGCTGGCAGCCCTTATGCCCCCCTCAGAGCCCGTCTGCGCGCTGCCCACTCCCTCACTTCTTCTGGAAGGCCAGCAGCAGCCTCGGGTCCAGGATATTCTCCTCTGGTTCCCAGCTGTTGTGTCTGCAAAAAACAGAGAAGGCTGCCTAAGACCAGGGCCAGCAAGCCACTGGCGCGCAGGGAAACCTCACCTCTACCATCCCCTTAAAAAAAGGAGGGCCCCAAAGAATTTCGTCCCGCCCCTCCCTTGGGAGGAAAACACATCCCAATAAAATGCAAAGTTGGAGAGAGGGAATCCCCCCACCCTGGCCTGGAGCCAGTGCGGGAAGGCACTGGCGGCGTCCAGGGGCAAGGAGGGGGAAGGCCGAAGGGCCGGGAAAACCACAGCGGAAGATTAACAACAGCAATGTGGCTGGAGAACGAGTGAGAAGCCAGGGTCCGGGAGAAAGGGGTCACGGATCAGCTGTGGGGACACGGAGTCCCTTCTGGGGGTTCCAAGTTCTTTCTCACCCATTAAGAGAAAAGAAGGCGGGTGGGGGAAAGAGACCCCGCGACCATCAATAGAAGGCTCAGGTTACAGCGAGGACTATGGACACGGGGAGGGGGCCCTCGCGTCCCGCGCTCCCGTCCCCCGCCCAGCCCGGCGCAAGCAACAAATGGGCGCGGGCGCAGCGCCGAGTGCTGAGCGCGGGCCGGGCAGGAGGAGCGCTCGTGCCCGGTAAACAAAGGGCAGCCTGGCGGGCTCGGCGCCCCGGGCCGGCTTGATGGGGTCCCAGGGACCCCAGGCCCTCGCACGCGCCCGCCCAGCGCCCCGGGTGCCCGCACGCCACTCCCCGGCCGCAGCGCGGGAAGCGGCCGCATTGTGGACTCACTTGGACGACCAGCCGCGCCACTTCACCAGGTACTCGAGCTTGCCCTGCAGGGAGAGAAGGGCGCGTGAGCGGCGGGCG